TTGAGTAAAAAGCTGCTATCTGTGATCAACTTAAAAAAACCTATTCTATAAACTTTTAAGTAATGTAAAATATGTGTTCTGTTGTAAAATGTGTAAAAAAATTGTAAAATACAAACTGTAACATTATGTGAAAAAATGTTGCAAACTATTAATGTAAAATATTAAGGATGTAAAAATTGAAAATGTTTTTGAAAAAAGTACGAATAAAATATTTTAAAGTAAAATTTAATTGTAATTTAGGTTTTGAAAAATTTTTTATACATGTTATATTTAAAGAATGTTAAACATAGAAAATGCTGTGGTTCACAAAGCAAATATTTATTACTGAGATATGCAGAGTAATACGCAGAGTTACATGCAAGCAGAATAATACTAAGTACAAGCAATAGCACAGATAAATAAGTACAGGCAGAATATTACTAAGCAAGCAGAATAATACTAAGCAGCGATAAGCGGTTACAGAGGTCATAATATAACTTCATAACAGATCATGGTTTAACAAATCAAATCATAACACAATAAATAACCAATCAAAAGTAACATGCAGAATGGGATTTAGTTTCAGAATAACTCGGACCTGGCTAATGAATGTTTCGGACTTGACAGAAAGCTATACTTCCTTTTAACCAGTAAGGATGCGATTACAAATATCTCAACAAAGCAAGAAAGAAATTTTTGTAAAATTCTAAATTTATTAAAACTGGATTTCAGCTGGTTTAATCAAAACTTTACTAAATCCTGGCCAAAAGTAAGGAAAATTAGAAAAAGATAAAAATCTTCACTCAATTCGGGCTATAATTGAGACTTTTGAAAAGAGTTGACCCTTCATTAGTAAAAGGAAAGAATCCAGTATTGATTAAATATACATATTTACATATTAATTTTTACAATAAATATTTACAAGATAATCCCTTAACTCTTCAAAATTCTCCATTACCCTATAGTTAAGGTTTAAGGTAATGTTATCATACCATAAAGAGTCAAAAAATTATAAAGAAAAGTTAATGCCAGCCTTTTTAATATATAAATTAATAAACTGTGTTGGATTTAGTTATTGACTTGTAAATTAATTAGCTTTATTATGTCTTCCTTTAAATCTTCTATTTCAGTACACATATTTTTTATTCTGATTATTTGGCTGTAACAAATTATTTAAAATTCAATTTAACTTCACTTTATTCTTTTGAAGAAAGATTTTATACATATATAATATTGATGCATTTGTTTTCAAGATCTAACAGAAAATACCATACATCACAGTAAAATTGTTAAATGCACCTGACAGCATTAAAATTTTAAGTCCATGTTTCACTGATTTACTTAAAATTAAAAAAAAAAAAAAAAAAAAAAAAAACCTGAATAACATTCTGGCTCTTTATCTAGAAGTTATATGATTCTATACTAAATAGGACTTTTTGCAGATATTTCAAAATCAGTAATAGCTGCAAACAGATAATTTTCTTTTCATTCAAATTTCTCCTCAATAGTATCAAACTGTACAGAAATTAAAATAACAGCAAATCAGTTCTAATTCATGGCAACTAAACTACAGTTTAGCATATCCCATCTACTATGAGCACTATCCAATATTTCATGACATTAGAAATCTTAGGAAAGCTTCCACCAATTATCTGCATACTTTGAATTTTGCTTGTATTTTAATGGAATAATTCCTCTTTTGTTTCTTTGCTTTGCAGTTTGTTCAATGCTGTATTTATGCATGCCCATGGAATAATGCTTAACTTCAAAAATCTATTAATATAAGCGGGTTCCAAATTCTTGCTTCTAAAACTTATTCCAACTTATGAGTTGTCATGTTATGCTTCTGGGCTAAACTTCTGTTCGTGATATAGGACCATCCATATATATCCATTTTATACATAGAATAATTCTTACTGACCATATTTGGGGCTTGAGGCTGTCCTTTAATACTTAAATTACACTTATAATCTACATAAATCTTTCTCAGAAACAAAACTGTGTTCACTATTATACCAAAGAATTTAGTGACAATCATTTTTCTCATTGTCACTGTCAAATATCTTCTTAAAGTATCCTCGTTATATGGATTTCCACCTATTATACTTTTACTTGGTCCCAACTGAATATTTATTTTGGAAACTTCAGAAAATAGTAAAATTTTGTTTGTCACAGTTTAGATATATACTAAATATACCACCTGACATTGAAAATGCAATACCAAGAAGGAATGGCCAGAAAGTGATGAAACTTGGCAAACAGAGAAAGTAACAAACAATAAGTGATTTTTAGTTCTAAATAATATGCATAATACATAGCAAGAACAGTGTCGGCTCAGTAGGTTGTAGGACCACTTTGGATACTGATACACAAAACAACAGCTCACATAGGAGAATGTCACCAGCCGTAATAATGCCCTGAATATGAACTAGTGGTAACCTGGAATCGTACACAATTGTGTCCCAAACCCTGATGCGGCGTTGTCGCACAGTGGGGCGTTCCACAATTGCTGCTGAATTGGACCTGTCTCCACCTCGATGCCACACACGTATGCAGCGACTGTCATTGTAGAAACAGAAGCATGACTTATTTGAGAGCATGACCCTGTGCCATTTCTGTCATCCACATTGCTTGAGCCCAGCACCATTACAGACATTGGCATCTGTGATGTGGAGTCAATGGCAGTCTTTATTGGATGCCACTAGGGCAGGCCACTAGCCATTAATCAATGACAAATGGTTCTGGTTAATATGGGAACATTCAGGGTGTCTTGAACATGCTGGTGTCTTGAACATGCTGGAGGTAGAAGTAGCTTGTGGGTGCACATGTCGATCTACTCGTGCTGATGTCACTCTGGCAGCACTAGCACCCCTTGAACTTGCCACATTTTCTTGTACCAACCATGATCACCACAGCCGGTGTGATGTGGCCATGTCCAGATGTGTATTAGCTAATATTTGCCATATGGACCAACCAGCCCTTTTCAGCCTGATCACCATGCCTCTCATAAAATCACTTATCAGCTGAAACTGTATCCATTTGACAACGGCCTGGAAATCTCTGGTTTACATGTGTTTTCTGACACAAGAACAAATTTTCTACAATGATTTCCCTAGCAGAATTAATGGCACAAAAAAAAAATGAACATTCTGCAGGTTCCTTCCCTTATTTCTTCAACGTGCGGTGGAAAGCTGCATCATTACGTAAATTGGTGACATGCGTCTAGCCTGAAATTTGCATAATTTTCAGGCCATTCCTTCTTGGTGTTGCATTTTCAATGTCAGGTCTTCACAATATGTGGAAGAAAAGTAAACCAATTTCAAATTTAAAACTAGAAGCACTTTTTCAAGGAATATACATTTCACACAGGTGCAGTATGTTCAAAATGTGTTCTACATCAATGACATGCTGAATTTAGCTTTATGTTAGAACTAAATATAGCATCAGTAAACTTGAGAATCAGAGCAGCAATTGCAGTGAAATGCAATCCATTACTTAACTACTAAAAGGTTACATGTTTGTCATTCATTTATAAACGTAAACTTACTTCTTCACACCTTAATATAATACATATAACACGATGAAAATGAAGATATAATACTTTGAGATGTTCATATATACAGGTTGTTTTAAAAGTTCCAGAGAAACTGAGGGGAAGAAGAGAACATTAAAACATGAACCCCATTAGCATAGGAAAGCAAGAAAAACATACGGAGAACAGACATTGTTTTAATGTTGAGTTGGTGGACATGGACATTATGTATAAATTAATAAGCTGCTATAACAATGTATGAGGAAAGGTACCCAACCAGATATGTACCACTGCATCAAATGTTTGTACAGTCACATCAGAACCTGTGTGGACATGGTTAGGATACAGGATACTAGGCAGCTACAATCGAGCTGTACTCTCACCATGCCAGAGGAGGCATTGCATGCTGAGGCAACCACAGGTATCCTTGTGCCAGGATATAATACAAGCATATACACAATTGCTGCTGCAATGGGACCATTTCAAGCCAGTTCATGGAGCACTATGCATAGTCTGGGATACCAATGTATCCAATTACTGTAGATGGAAAATAATCCACGACACAGAATATTTGTGCAATAAATTCTGCATCAGTCTGAGTGACCTGCAGTTCCCAAATTTTGTTCAGTTCATGAATGAAACATCCTTTTCATGTGAAGAGGCTATTAGGCGCCACAGTGGCCTATGTGAGACTAGAAAAACTCACATTCTACATGAACATATTCTGCACAATACAGCTTCATCATTTAGTTTGTAGAGATATCATGGGTAATTGTTGAGTTAGCGCATACGTTACCACCTTCACTAGATACTCAGAAATATTGGACTTTTATGGAGGATATTCTGCCTAATTTACTGAATAATAATCCCACCATTCTGCATCACCAGTTGTGGTGATGCATAGTGGTGGGAATCCAGATATTTGGACCAAACTTTTGTTCTGGGGATCAATGGACTGGGTGTGGTGGATCCAATACATGCCCCTCTACCCATATTCATCTTGTTTGTCTAACATAAATTTCTTTTGGTTTGGGACCTTAAAGCCCAAACCAAAAATGTATGAAATGTCCACTGCTTCCAATACGGACCGGACCTCGTGGCTAGAAATGACATTCCCATCGCTAATATCTGCAGAACTTGAAGTATCTTTGAAAATGTTCAACAAGCAAAGCAGCACCAATATCAGGCATCTGGAAAATTTGGAAATTTCAGTTAATTTACTACCAAGTTTCATCTAACAAACTCCTTTACACTATCTTCTGTAATGTGTTCTTACAGTTTATTTGTCGCATTTTCATCTTTTATGTGTGGACTGTCCAGCAGTCAAATCAATATTCTCTACCTACCCACAAAACTTCTATGCACATTTGAGACATACTTTACATACTTGTAAGCACATAAACGTACTTCAACAGCCATTTGAATGTTTATTATAGAATTAAATAACATAAAACTACTACATTAAAAAAACATTTTTGCTATCACTTACCTTTCTCTTCAATTACCTCAATACATTTAGAGACAAATTTTGGAACTTTTCTGTTTTCTCGTGAACATAAATTTTCCAAGTGACAACCAAACACTGGCTCATCTGAGGAAGGGGGAAAAATAGAATATCAACTCTAAAGAAAGAGTGAAAGTAAATGTTTAATGAAAGTTAATTTTAATAATTTATTGCACATTTCAAATTATCTTTGCTTCAAGGATAATTCAATCTTCTAACTTGCTCTTTAGAGATTTCAAATGGAATAATAAATAAAAATGAGCATTTTAAATAACAGAATTCTTCAGACTCTCAAAATTTTGGAAATTTCAAATTGCACTGTTAAAGCAGGCAATGCATCCTCTGTATACTTGATACTTGTATCCCAAGGATACTTGAGTCTCCTTTATAGAAATTAATAGGGGAACCGGAAAGTAATGTCGTTTCTGCGCATGTTGACAACAACATGCTAAGGGCAGAAGTGGAAGCAAATCCATGTCAGACACTCTTAACAAACCTTGGTCAAGCATCCAGTTTAAGCAGATGGAAAAATAGCAAGCAGGTGGTTGGTCCCTCATAATATGTCCGAAAAAAAAAAAAAAAAAAAAAAAAAAAAAAAAAAAAAAAAAAAAAAAACGAAGCCAACCTATCCATCACACCAACATTGCTTCAATGGCATATACAGAACCGTTTTTTTGATCGTTTGATTAGTGGAGACAAAAAATAAGTCCTATATGATAATCCAAATCAAAGGCAGTTTTAATTGGGGTACAAGGTTACATCCCGAAAGGTGCTTTTGGTGTTTGTTTGATGGAGTATATTCGGGAATTGTTCATTTTGAATTGCTGAAACCTGGAAAAACTGTTATGTAGGCCTTTATTGTGAACAATTGGATATAGTGAACAATCTTTAATCGAAAAATATCCAGCGATTGTCAACGGAAAAAGGCATCATTCTGCAACATGACATGCAAGACGTACTGTGCAAGAAAACCCTGGAAAAATATAATGAATTGGGGTGGGAGTACTGCCTCACCCCAGCATATTCGCCCGATATTGCACCATTGGATTTCCATTTATTCCGATCCCTACATTTTCTTAGTGACAAAAAAATTTGAAAATTTGGATGATGTCCTAAATGCCATCTTGAGATATTTTACCAAAAACCAATTGATTTTTATCAGTTGGATTGAAATCGGCATACTAGATGGCAAAAGATTGCTGATAACAAGGGTGATTATATTATTGATTAAACATAAAAACTTGTTACAAATTTATTCATTTGAATTAAATGTAAGAAAGTAACATTACTTTCTGGTTCCCCTATTACAACACAAATACACTCGTCCTCAAACAGCGAAAACAATATAGAAACTTTAATTTCACCACAGAAAACATTAGCTTCATCAATTGTCAGATAGGAAAGTGGACCTCATCACACTGTTTGTAACTTCATGTGATAGAAGTTCAAACAGCAATATTTAGTTTTTTTCTGCAGCAGAATTTAAATAGCATTATTTTAACATTACTACAGAAAACAAAAGCTACCCCTTCATTAGAAAACTTTTTTTTTCATTTCCAATGGCAGATTATGAACAGTTACAAGCAAAAAAAAAAAAAAAAAAAAAAAAAAAAATAAATAAATAAATAAATAAATAAATAAAATAAAAATAAAAAAAACATGAACAAAGAATATAGAATACAGCAACACAATGAAAAAAATAGCTGTAAAAAATACCAGAGTACATTAATCTAACATATCTCTTGCCTCCCAGTAATGCTCGGTGAGAAAAGTCTTGCACAGAACAGGACAGTGGGGTAGATGTGCGGCATCCATCACCTCTCCAGAGCTGCACAGAATGTATATCGGAGAGGGAACAATTTTGAATCTATGAAGATGATATTGTAGGCAGTCATGCCTGGTGGCAAGGTGGAATTCAGCGATTTGGCCATTACACAAATTCAGGATAGCATTTTTCCAAGACTTATCAGAAACACGATGGTAGAGACCTTCCTGAGCACGTACTTTGAAAGATCTTTTAATAAGATCCCTAACAGTATGGAAATGCAACGGACGAGAAATATTCTGCATGATTAAAGCACCTTTTTTCGCTACAGAGTCGGCTTTCTCATTACCTGGAATCCCACAGTGCGCAGGAACTCATTGGAGGACAGTAGTTTTCTGAAGTGAATTCAGGTTTTGTAGATAATGTCGACAATCCAATACGTCCTGTGATATGGGATTCTTACCTGAAACGATAGCCAACAGAGCAGCTCAGGAATCACTGAGTATAAGAGCTTTTGTGAATTTTTCCAAGTGGCATGGTAGGTGGTACAGAGCTTTGCGAATTACAGCAATTTCACCGTCAAATGCAGAACCTCGGCTCGCAGGGATGTAGAAAGAGAAATGCAGAACCTCGGCCCACAGGGATGTAGGAAGAGAAAATTTTGGAGAAAACTCCGGCACCTGCATTAAGGCCAGCAGACAGGAGGGATCCATCAGTAAAAATCTGAAGCCACTCTGGCTCAGGGTAAAAAATGTTTAATACTTCGAAAGCGAGGGCTCTCAAAATAGAGGGATCCATATTACGTTTGGTTGACCCAGGTCAAGATTAATCCTGAAAGATTTCAAATTTATTGGATTTTGCAGTGGAACAAGTAATTCTGGTTCATTCATTAAATTGAGTTTTTTAACTGAAAAACTCTCTGTCACCCATCTAGGTCTTTAGATTTCTAGTCAGATATTGATTGACTTCATTCCAGAGTGAAAGACATCCAGAAACTCTAATGATTCTTTACCAGAGAATTAAGGCCTTCTCTTGAATTAAGGTTCTTAAGGGTTTATCACCAGTTAACAAAAACACGGTATCAATCGGGGTGGTCTTCACAGCTCCAGAAACAATACGTAAGCACTGATCTTGGATTTTTTTCTAGAGTACATTTTCCACGGTCACAACAAGTGGTTCACAGCAGTAAGTCAGAAGGGGGAGGATAAACAAATAATAAAGTTTGGAGCAGGGTTTGTCATTAGAATTTATTATTTATTAGTTCATTAGAAAACATTGTTACACACAATTATTCATCAGCTGATCTACAATAACATGGAGAGAATATAAATGACCTGATCTTGGATTTAAAAACTGATAGCAATAGCATATTTCTTCATCTCTGACTAGTTGCATTGTAATAATTATGTACATAGATTTACAGCACTTTTATAATAGTTTTAGGTAAGGTATTATATTTAATTATAATCGACTATATGTACATAGATTTTTGGTCTATTCTATAGTAAGTAAACTCTGGATCTAAATCTAATTCAGTATCAACAGCATAGGCAGGTCTCTTATGAGACACATAATCCATATTTGGCTATGTTTTCATTAGTGATGAAATTACAGTGATCATTTACATTTCCAAATTATTTTGTTCAAGAGATGGCTGCCTTAAGCAATACAGCTGTTTCTAAAAAATACTGATCATTTTCAGCAATGGTTACTGTGATGAGATGCATCATGATACATCTATGAAAATAAAACTTCAGGAAAATTATAACATTTGTACGGAACTACCAACTTATCAAAATTGTAGGCAGATTGGATAAATGAATAAATTTTTAAAGAAAGTTATTGAAAACAGAATTTCTGAGAATGATTTTTATCACAAATCTTAATGAATCATTTAAAATGCTACAACTACTTTTATATATTTTTAACATTTACCAGTTATAAATCATCATACATATAATTTTGAAGCAGTTTCCAAGCAGAATTTAGAAGAATAAAAGTGAGAACTTTTAATTTTTCAAATGATATAAATTTTATGTACAACCTCATAAAAGTAAGATAAATATCAAACCTCGAAATATGGAAAAGCAGGAAGTTTTTGAATAACACAGTGAGACGTCATTAACAAATTGGGTCATCAAAGTAATTATATCATAATTTTAAGATAAAATATATTACCAGAAATGTTACATTTTTGGGTAATTTCATTAAATTTTATATCAATTAAAAAAATAGGAAAAATGTTTTAAATGCGATGAAAATAAAATTAATAGTTGATGGGCATATATTCATATAGATCACAATATAACATTTATAGATTAAAAGTTAGATTAAATACGAACATTTAATATTAAATGGTAGATAAGTCTTCATAAAATGCTTTACAAATTTGTATAATGACAGCAATTCTGACAGAACAAAAAATAATCAGACAGATTATGCTAAAAAGTCATTTGCAAGGGGGGGGAAAAAAAAAAAAGGAATATGCATAGCTTGTTTTACTTAAAGGTGATAATGCTATCTGTCTTAAGAATGCCATCAAAATTGTTTTTCACGGAAATTCTTTTTCTTAAAAAATTAGTGATCAACAGTTTTAAATTTGTCTACTACATTTGAAAGAAATAGACTAATTCTGAATAAATTAAAAATTGCAACATTTGGTGATTAACTAAAAGATGTTATGAAAAATCACGCCTTGGTTTTACTGGGAAGGACAGTAGCACTGCGAAGTCCAAATAAAAAACTGAATTATTACCTAATAAAATCCCCTTTTCTCTAAGGCTTTCGAGTGTTGGACGTCGGACAAAAAACTGCCGTAGCTTATCTCTAATTTTACGTTTCTTCTCAGCTGGAATTGCAACATCACTCTCCTCGACATTTGGTTTAGCAGCTAAATACTCTGCAAAAAAAAATACTACAAATTAAAAGTTATACTTTTATCCCAAAATGCATAATATACATTATTTGCTAAAAATCACTAAACACTTCACATTTTAGCCTCTTTAAAAAAAAAAAAAAGAATCCTATGGAAATGCTTGAAGAATTATTTTGTGATTGCAGTCATGCAATAATTTTGAACTGTGCACGTATGACATACGTCAACATTTTTCTTTCATAATTTGGAAACCAACTAGTATATAAGGTAGCTTATATGAAAACTGAAACCAAATATCATACAAATTAAGAAAGCTACTGGCATTGTATTGCAGTTAGTTGAACTAACTGAATGATACGAGATTTTTTACAAATTGTCATTTTCTAAACTTACAAACCACTGGCTACTGCACAAAGATTATTACTCAAAAAAGTATAAATGCATGTCTGATGATATGTAAGTGATGGGGACAATTGCTTATGCATAAAACATGTTTGATGTTAAAATGAACAAAGAACACAGCACTTTTGAAAGGGGTGAAATTGTAGGTGCCCATAAATTTAGGCACTTGATTGATGGCACAGCCAGGGTAGTACAAAGAAGAGCACTTGACATCCCTTATTAGGCTTTCTATTCTTGGGCGTAGCAAGCAAAATACAGAGCATTTGCACTCCCTTACACAAATGCTTTCTCCCTCAAATGTTAACCAACAGAAGTTGCCAAACTATTTGCTCCCTTTCTTATTATTCTGCTAATCTTCTTCTATGCAAAACTTGTACCAACAAATTTAATCTTTTCCCAAATTTGCAGCCTGTCATGCTAATAACCAACAGCTGGCTAGCCACCTGAGATGGGATAGATATAAAAATTATTTATGTGTACTATATATCCCTTATTGAGCTAGTCCTCAAGTAAGCATAAAATAACATCAGTAGTGCGACCTAAATTATTGTGAGATTCCTCACATGTTTCACTGTAAGCTTTTATTTTCATATCAACATGATCGGAATCACGTAGCTCGTACAGCTTGACACCATATTTGTGCTTTTTATTTTTTATGTACTGGCGGAAATGCAATTGTCCACACTAGAACATCATTGATTCGTCAAGACAAATATTTTTATTTGGCACAGTTTTGATGTATAATATTGAATTGATTTGGTATAGGTGACACCTTGTATAATTTGTTGGGAGATGGTATTAAGCTATCAAGAAAGTGAAAATATCAGAATTACAATTGGAATTTTTTTTCAACTGATACGTGATCACCAAAACATTACATTATACATTTTGTTTCTACTCCAGTAATGTTCTATTGAAGGAAAAGAACGAGGGCCCATTTGTAATAGAAGTCCAAAGGAAACTTTCATTTCTGCAGTGCTGCCTTTTCACTGTGACAAACTTACAGATTTTTTTTATTTGATTACATTTTGCAATTTCTTGTACAACATATAAATTCATTTGTTTGACCAGTAATGTGAAAAATTTGCGACAAAAAAATAAGCCTACCAGAGTTTGGACTACAAGATTAGACATATCCAACTTCAAAACAATATTTTCTTGGAAAATAAAGAGTTCGGGAATTTGGGTAATTTTCTGTCCACATATTATCATTTGTATTTGAAGTGGTTTCCTGGGAAGCATTGTGATTGTCTTCAGATTTCAGAATCATCTCATCTTCAGGTTGGAGACGACTTCCTTACTCTCCTCACCTGAACTCTCAGAAGGTACATAATAGTTGATAATCTCGTCAATTCTGGATCATTTAGATTATAAGTGCTCAACTTCTTTTTCAGTAAGTGGTCTTTTATTATCCATTATTGGGAGAATTATAGTTTGATTATAAAATAACACACACAAGAAAGACACAAATGTGATGTGCTCCACTACATCTCTATTATTACTAACAAATTAATAAAGAGTTTCTGAATCAGTTCCAGCAAAGTGACAGGATGAAGCATTTCTGTGCAAGAATTATCTCATAGTTGGGTTTCATAAAGCGATTTCTGTTACATACGCCAACTATGAGATCAAAAATGGCTTTTTACACCAGAACCTAGAAAATTTCCAAGGCAGTCACATGTTAAAGGGGAAAAAATTGTGCCAAATTTTGAAACATTTCTGTGGATCGCTGCTTTGTCAACATCATCAAAATTTCAAGACAACGTGCTTCGTAGAAGGCCAAAAGTCTGTTTCAAGATTGATTTATACAATTTATACAAGTCAGTAAAAAAACCAATTAAAATAAAGCAAGCTTAAAAAAAGAATTCAAAGCCTAGTTCACTTTCTTATAAAAAATCCAAAATTCTTATCCTCTACATGCTTCATAAGATTTTTTTACGCGATTTTTTTTAATGAATTTTCCCTCTGGAACCTGTCTACTTACGTAGAATTTAAATTCCACATGTTCCCATGTTTATATTTTCAGAATTTGAAAAGCTCGCAGAGCTCTGTCTGTTTTTGTTTACAGTAACTAAGCCACCTAAACTAGAAGAAACTTTAGCAGAGAAGCAAGTAATAATATGGAAAATAACAATAGTCATAATGATGTTATTACGTTTATAACTTCCTGTACATTAGTTCTTCCTTTACATAAATGTTGTTAAAATTAATCTTCCATAAAAATTTATAAAAAATTCTCAATTTCAATGAAACATTTATTTCAGATTATTTTAAGCTTTAAAGCAGAATAAGTCATTTGTTGTTCATTAAAGTTTCTATACATTGTTATGATCACCATCAGTCATCGGAATGCAGGAAGTTTCTAAAAGAATTTTAATTACACATATTATCAGCTTTTTCTTCTTTGATCCTTCAATCATGGGTGTGATACCAATGTTACCTGTATCATGTTTATATCATCTAATCAGAGTATTTTAAAATCAAGAAATCTAAATATGTTACAATGTATAGACAGCATAAATAGATTTTTTATGCTCATAAAAGAACATAATAAAAACAGAAATTTTATGCCATGATATTCTGTTGTCTGCCAATGAATTGCAAATAGCAAGGCTTATAAGACGACAGCACCATCACTCAGATATTCCAACAGCTACAATTGATTAAAGTTAGAGAAAAGATTTCTTTCACTGTTATTGCACCTTGTGGTTATGTTAGGGATGCCAGAAAGGTTTTAGCAAAAAAAGTGAAATGTTTTCATGACGTTTATGATTTGAAAAATTCTGATAATGAGGTAAAGCTCTGATAGAATTTGTATGGAAAAAAGAAAGTAACGATTGACAATATAAAGGAGCCAGTGTTAAAAAATTTGACTAAAAGAAGTGATTATTACTATATAAATTAAAGATTTTGCTAAAAAACAACCTGTTTACTCAACAATGAAAAATCTGTTTAATCATGTATAAGTCCACTGTTTATTTACTTGCTTACTTGAGTATGGCAAAGCACACAAATGCTGTCTACCAAAGAGGATGAATATCTTCACGCAACATTTTCTAAAGGAAGCTGCCTTGCACTCATGTTTCTTGCAAGAAAAACTTCAAAAACACTCAATTAGCCAGCCAGTTTACAGGGATTCAAAATCTTGGAATGCTCACCTATTTTCCATTGGGCCACTAGTAGACAAGTCTAAATTTAGCTTTCTTAGTAATCTTGGGTAATCCTAATCTAGTTTTTTTCAGTCTAAGGAGTGTGCACCATCTCTGGCTCAAAACTTGGCTATGGCCATGATTCAAATCAAGATATTTTATTGAAATTATATATGGCCAAGTCTACCATCTTCAGTGTTGTCATTGAGTGGAAGCAATGAGACAGAACTAATTCTGCTATTTCTATAGCTAGGATGAAAAATGAACTAATAAGGATCACAGGAAATTTGCTTGTTACTAGAAACAACCATCAGACATGACTTTCAATGCCAGTTATGTGCAGAAGTTTGGTTATTTTTTAATTATGGCAAAACACTCAAGGGAGTTACCTAAGGACCTCCACTACCTAAGGAGAGTTATTCTTTTGTGGAGAACTTCTTAAGGGAAACTGTGGTTAAACATTCCACAAGAGGAAAACAATGAATATGGCCATGCATCTGATGGCGTTCAAACGACAGACTAAACTGAGTGTTTAGCGATTTTACCACCTGGCCAGTGGCGGGTCATGGTACAGAAGAGATCAATGACAAAACTATCATTTTTGAGGTGATAAGATTTGGTTTACATGGATGTGCTACTGCCAAAATGCTCCTGAGAACACATACCCATGCACAGTCTCTGGAATGGTGCAAGGAACATCTACACTGGACTGTTGACCAATGGAAAACATCATATGGAGTGATGAGTCAGGATGCAGATTGTACTAGTTGGACACTGGATGATGTCATTTATCATAGAGTGAATTTCTCACTGAAATTTGGTGACATCTGCATTATGATGTGGATCTGCTTTTCTTCAGGCATAGTTGATAAACAGAAGCACATAAGATTGATTACATAAGAAGATTTGTTGGACAGTAGTATGCTTTCCATGTATGCGAATAGTTCGGTATAGGTCTTCTCCTCACCAGCAAGATAACACTCATGTCCACACAGCATGGTTAAATGATCTGTAGATAATATCATGGGCGTGCTTCAGTGACAAACTAAAAGCTCCAATCTGAATCTTATTCAACATCTTTGAAAGAAACTGTAATATCATTTGCATTCAAGGCCCATTTGGCCAAATAATAAGGAAGAGCTATTTGTCGTATTACAAGAATGAAAAAAATTCAGCCAACATATGTCAAAAATTGGTCAAGCACCTGCTCCAACAAACAGATACTGTCATTTTAGCAAAGAAATTTCCAACTCTGGCCAATAGGCTGAAGTCAAATGAAATAAACAACAGCAATTTGTGTACAGTTATATTAGTGTTATTTATACTGTCATTTATCTAATTAATGCAGTTTTTGTAACATAAATTAATGGCATTTACTTGATGTATCTTAACTAAGTATGCATGTATATTTAATATATTTGCAACATTCCTGTAATTCAGTTCAATTATCCTGTTACATTCATAAGAGAAAATGAAAATTTGTGGAAAATCTCTTATCATCCAACTAGTCCCAGAAAATAACTGAACTCACTCACTATAATCATCAATATCTTTCTGAATTTGACCAACATCCACCTGGAATTTTTAAATAAATTGACCTATAAAGTAGGTGACTAGAAAATTAGGAAAAAAAGTTAACATACTTTGTGCATGCACAGTTAACATTTTTTTCTTTAAATGCTTATTATCTAATTGAATAATCACTATTTTCAGTTCAAATTTAACTTTAATGTTTCCATAAAATATTGTTACATTTTCTGAAAGTTTCAATTATTTAAAAAAATGGAAAAGATCCAAACAGTGGAATTTTTAAAAGGATAAATAATAAACGGAACCTGGTTTTAATTACACAGAAGGATCAAAAATATTTTTTACCCTTCATCATTCTATTGCTGGTCTCCTAAATGCATTTGAGATTGAGTTTTCACTGGAAAGTGTGAATTCAAACATGTTATTTTTATGACCACAGTTAAAGAACAAAACTAGAATGTTAAAAAAAAAAAAAAATCTAAAACCTGGTGTCAAGTAGTTAAAATGTCTGGTGACTGCACACAATATTTTTACTAAAAAGGAACATAATGAGATGAATATAACACATGCAATCCTTTGAAAATAGTATTCATTCACAGACTTTTAATCCAAAAACATGCATTTTTGTTTTTGGATTAAAAGTATTTTCTCCTATATACCTAGATATTAAATACCCCGATTCTGAAAAAATTTTACAGAAATTGTGTCAGAATAATTCTGCATGATAAATTAAATGTAATGTTAAACTAAAAATTTTGCTGCAGAAAGCATTTTACTCTTAACAACAAACAAGAAGGAAATAAATATGCGTACATTGTCAAAAGTCAAATTTAAAAGCTTTTATTTAAACACAGTTAATGGACAGAGTAACAACCAAACAATAAACACACATTTATTTCATTTCATGCCTTCACCTATGAACACATGTAGTTTATAAACCTCACAAACCTGCATAAAAACCACCACATGTTGAAAGCCTAACTGATATTAGAAATAAAGTTCTAGATCTGATTTATTATATTATTAGAATACATATATGCACATGAAGGCTATGTCAAATGAAAACAATGCCAGTGTGAGGAAGTTTCTGTGAGAAATAGACTCGTATTTATGTTACATAACGAGGGAAACCACAAAAACACCTAGGCAACCAGTATTTGAGCTCAGTTACACTAACAATATTCAACAAATATTTGGACATTGGTGGACCAATTTATGTCCTTTCAGCACGCTGCTGCAAATATATCAAGGCAATTGCACACATCCTTAGAATATTTGCCTATAATTTTCCTGAACATTACTGATCTAACGCAAATCATGCTGAAACACAGACAGCTACTAAACAATGGCACAGCAAATTAATCGAAAGGAACTGTTCGCATAAATCCTCTGTACTTATTTGCTGTTAACATTTATCATGTATAATTATTATTAAAATAACAGCATAATGCAGGAAATTAATGTAAAATGGTTATTTATATATTTAAAAAAAAACCTACGTTTTGTAGATTTAGAACGAGCTAACTTTACATCTCGCTTGAAACTTTCATCTCTATTACTGGTAGTATACTTTCCTTCTGCTTGCTCTAAACTAGATGGCTAAAAGAAAAATTCGAGAAAAAAGCACTTTATTACACACTAATTTAAGCAAATGAATTTATTCGTATGGAAAAAATACAAGAATGCAACACAAATTTCTTAATATTTTTACCAATTTACAAGTTTAATGGAACAACTGTAATTGATTATGGCCTACAACAGACATGCAAAAAGAGAGTTTGTGAATTGTCAGTATATTACAAACTTATACTTCTCGGCCCTGAATAATTAGCATAAATTTTAAAACAAAATTTTTACAATTTCAATACGCAATACAATACATTTTAATATAAAAAATTTAATAAACAATTGGCTGGTTGAAATTACTTGTGCGTAAAGTATCACACGAGTGCTACTCAAACAGGAGAATGAAATTCCTTGACTTTTCTAGCTGTATTTTTAAAAAATTCCAATCGATCTGCATAGTGCACGTTGGCTATGCTGAAGGTAAACTTATGGTACCACATGAAAACACAAAAATTTGCCAATTACATATGAATTATATATATATAATACAAAACACATTCACTTTATTTAGTTATTGTTAATTGACAGTAGATTGGTTTGTCCCCCTTGACAAGTTCATTAATCTGCAATCAATAACAACAGCTATTTTTGCAGTATTTTGGAATTTGAATTTTTATAGTTAAAGGATTTTTCTTTATGAATTTTAAGTAATTTTTACGATTCTCAAACAGTGGTATGCAAGAGGAAAATAGGTGGTATGCAAAGAAACAAAATATTTTAACTATTAAATTAAAAAATTAAATACCTCGACATCCTGTTTTAAGTTTTTCTCTAACACTCATAAATTCATGAGATCTGAGCTTTGTTCAAAGTCAATAGCTGCTCATAGACAATAGCAAAATAATCCATTTTTATTTTCCCAAATATATTTTTTAGCTGTAGACATAACAAAATTTGTCATAAATGATGCTTTCAAAATGAGTAATAGAAAGAAGTTACAATAAAAAGATGACAATATCTCATTAATTATTTTAGTGTTGATCAATTTATGCCGCCACTATTTCTGGACTTGTATTGCTTTATTTTCTATTAGAATATTTTTTTTTATGTCGATTTGCTGTCTTTAACAGCAAGTACTTTGTCTTCTTTTTGCTTTGTATTCCTTACTTTTCTATCTGATTTAAGAATATCATCGTTCGTTTATGAAGAACTCATAATATTTGTGGATTTAAATATCCGTGAGAAAAATTATAAAACAAATCCAGATTTTCAAAATGGAAAAATGGGTACAATTGACTAAGTGGAAAGGTGATGATTCACAGGTGATGTATCCACGAATATTTACAAGCACTAAGAATATTGAAAAAAAAAATTGTTTGTAGAAAATATAATAACAGTTATTTATCATTTGGATTTACTTGGAATGGAGATGAAATGGACCCTCAACCTCAATGAGTTGGTTGCGGTGAACTATTATCCAATCAAAGTATGAACCAGCATTTCTTAAAAGACAGCTTGAATCTAAGTATGCCAATTTAAAGGACATATCTAAAGAATATTTTAAGAGGAAATTATTGGTTTTCAAGAATACAAACAAGTAATGAAAGGTTTTATTAACTCGAGTGGAAAAAGTTTGGAAGCTAGTAACATAGTAAGCTTTAGAATTGCCAAGCCTGTATAGGCTGACACTATTGGAGAAAACCTTACATTACCAGCAGCTAAAGATATCCTTTTAACAAAATTTAATGAAAAAGTGGCTAATGAATGTGTTATCTAATAATCAAATTTAATAATACTTTAAGCTTCTTACTACTTTTAGAAAGTTGTTTAACCAAAAATAATTTGGAAATAAAAGAAGTATTAGCATCCAACACTAGAAATAATTTATTTTTCATTTCATAAATAACTTCAACATGTGCTTTCCCAAGAGTTATGCAAAAGAAAATTGCATTAGAAATCCATTTTGCTGAAATGTAATTGAAATTTAATCCCGTGATGAAAAAGAGCAACTGGTAGAAATTTCCTGTCATTGAACTGTAACTGAAGATTTCAAAAATAACAACACACTTGTTAGCTTTTGGGTGAACTGGGAGGTTAAAAAAAAAAAAAAAAAAAAAAAACTTCAGGTATTTCAAATAAAGCTACTAAATTTTATATCCTTTTTGCTCAACATATTTTTTTGTGAACAGGGATTTTCTTCCATGTTCTATTTGAAAAATAAATACAGAACAGAATTTAAAGTGGAACCTAATTTATGCTTAAAATTAAGTGAAATAAGAACAGATATAAAGAAATTAATCTCTCTTAAACAATCCCAAATTTCACACTAAATTTTAGAATTAAGTATTATAACTTCAATTTTGATAATTAAAATGATAACCAAATTTTAACACAATAATTTTTATGCCCGCATATTTAAAATACACAGCCAATAAGTTGCGCAAATGGCAATCATACCAAAATGTAATGGTACTACAACTTTTCAGTTTTTGTTCAGATGGTACACGTTAGTCAAAAGGATGAGAACTGCTGATCTAGATACTGACTTGGAAAGATACTCGTTGGAGATGATATATAAATAGTTTTTCTAATAATAAATAAATAAATAATATATATATATATATATAGGGCATCTCAGTACCACATTCCAAAACTTCTAGGAGGAGTAGGGTGCATCCCAATGACTCAGAATCATATAGCAATCCAGGGTCTGGAAAACTTTGCTGATGCAGAGATGGCATTGCGTGAGAGCTCCAAGATCTCTTGCACAGAATCGTTTTTGTACAAGGATGCAGAATTAGTAGGATGAATAATTATATGAACACAGAGTTAGCCAATATTCATTTGGCATATGAGGCTGCAGATTGTAGCGGCCCAGCGGCACCACACTTTCATAAGCTAAAAAAAAATTCCATAAGTTTCATAAGCTAAAACTTTAGCTAAAACAAGTTCTTTTCAAACAGCTACCACGAACTGGATATGATCAGCACAGATTCACTAATACTATTACTTGAATACTCATGTGAATTTAAACAAGTTTCGTAATTAAGATACAAAAAGAGTAATTTATCTAGCACACTCTGCATCTAACTTAGTGATATGTGGTTCCTGGATATTTTCAACACTGGAAAGTCAATTATATGGAAAGAGATTTGCTTTAGGTTAAGAGAAAAATACCACTGCAAGAGTATTAAAGAGGCCATCACACTACTATCTCTTGTTTTTGAACTATCTACAAAGTTCTGTGAAAAAACAATGGATTCAAATTTAAAAAAGAAAGCAATACAGGTCAAAAAGCCATCTAATTCCAAATAAGAAAATCGGCATTACAATTTTTAAATCAGCTTGCAATTTAAACATTAAAACTGCATACAAGAAAGCACACTAAAAATTATGGGAAAACAGAATAAAGAAATAAAAGCACTCACAAGCATCATGATGGCAGCTTTTATTGTGTCAAACCATTCCTTTGTTGTTTGGGCATTATCATCTTGCAATAAAAGTTGGTGGCCAAGAACAGTACTTATCTGCAGAAGTGCAGCATTACAAATTATACACAGTTTTTAAAAAAAAAATTTTTTTTACATTCAAAAAATGAATCTTTTATATTTAAAGAGTGATATATTAACATTTTTAACACATCAAATCATTATTTTCAATTAGTACAAAAATCCCAATAATTATAAATAAAAGATTACAAACACAACAGTAGTATATCCTGTCAAATGGTATACAAGATTCGATATTTATCCTTGATATTATAAAAATGTTTTGCTGATCAGCATAACAAAGCATTTAAAATAGCAGTACCCATGAAACCCAGCTGCTTAAAAAGAAGAATGCCTTCATGAAAGATTTCCTAATAGAAAGTGGACTGTATTCACATAAACACACAAGGAAAGCAATGAAAAATGCATTCATTCAACCCATTTGGTTATATCTGAATTACCAGTAGCCAGCGGTCTTATTCACACCATCACTGCAAAGTGGCAAGAAAAACATCATTGTATAAACATAATTTTAAAATTTTATCAGAACTTCTCAAGGACATTTTATTACTATTACTTCATACCAAATATATGTTACATAAAATACAATTCCAATATCGTATGATATATCAGTTGGAAAATTTACAGCAGTAATTCGCTGCACTACTGTATGCATCGCAAAAAGCAGAATAATGATGTTAAATATTGTAGTAATGTACAAATTGCAATCCTCTTTAAATTATTTCTTCTTAAAAAATAGTCAAAGAAAACATTTGATTTCCTTAATATTTTGTTTACATCATTTTACATTAAAAAAGAAAAAATACAGAAAAAATTCCTACGCTTTTGAAATTACAGTTCTTCTTAAGTTGAGTTTTAATTTTACCGAACAGAAGATCTAGATCCATGGGCTGGCAGTAATGGATATTTTTATTTAAAAAAAGCAAAATATCTCCAGTGATTTTTCTACATTTTAATTTGCAAAATTTATAAGGGAAAATTCTTTAAGGACTGTAACCTGAAGTTTTTAAACTGCATTCTTTTTCATTTTTTTCCTTCTACATCTTATAATGCATAAATCTAATTTTTTGAAAATGCCATAGCTTTTATCGAACTGGAGTATTTCGATTCAATAGCAGCTACAGTACAAAGTCCGGACCTCAAAGGCCACTACCAGCTTCTTTTTTATTTTATTATATTTTTTTGTGTGTGCTTTATGCATGTACATTTGATCCCCCCGTGCATAATAAAATGTGTTGAGAGTTCCGATTCTTAATTTCACTTCTGCACTAAATAAAATGCCTTGTTATTGAAGAAACAATCATTTTAGCATAAATTTGTATGATAAATAATTTGGCTCCATAGCTGCGTATCTGCCTGTCATACATCTCAAACCGAAACATTCTACAGATACATCATTGATTTTACACCTACTAATATTTTATATCCCTGACTCCAACCTGGGGAATCATTATTTATTATACTATGCTTTCATCACCACATGACAATTTGAGTAATGACTCATGAAACAATGTCTAAAAAATTTCTTTTTATATTAGTAATTGAGAAACAGTATGGTAACCTTTTATGTTGACATTACGCTTGATGATGATTACAGATTTAAGTTAAATATGTTAAGAAATGTTGATAGGAAAAAATTAACAAAAATTTCTTTCCATACACTAAAAGTAGATTTTATTAATGATACTCATAGGCCAAAAGATTACATTTAGTGCTATTTCAACTTAGAATAACTGATTCATTATTCAGCAGAATTTAGGAGCCATAGAGACTGCATCAGGCGGTAAGATATCTAGTGCGAGTAAATAAGTCTTAAGTATATGCGGGAATTTATTTATTCAGGACTCAGATAAGTGTTAAGCATGTGCAAGAAATAGGCATTAAGTATCATAAATAACTAAATTAATACAATTCAGGCCTAATTGTCTCAGTTCGCGAGAGAACCAAGATAAAATTTAGCAGAACAACTTTTCTTTCTTCTCATAATACATACCAAATATGTATAGTGAACAATATTAAATTTTATGATGATAGCCGTGATTCTAAAGGTTTTCCTGAAGGGTTTCGGATATTGTATAACAAAGGCGAACTTTTCTCATTAACGAATTTTGTAAAGAAATGTGGAGAAGCAGTAATAAATTAAGAGGATATAAAAGAAGTTTTTCACTGTGATGACAATGGTCCTCAATCATCAATAAATTACTGGATGGCAAAATCTGTAGTATGATTCTAAATCCAGAAAATACCGCTACAGACAGAGTGATGAAAAAATTTCGCTTGACAAGTTAGCCGGAATTCTGGACACAGCAATTACAGGACTTCAACAATGGAACTTTGTAAATGAATAAGAAATTATGTCTCTCTATAAAATTAAAGAGAAAGTATTAGCACAAAAAACGAAGTAACTTAAACAACTTCAAAGAAATGTTTAATAAAGTAAAAAAATAAGTATTAAGCTTTTATTCTTGTAAATTTTGATACCCTTTAGATCACAAATCACGATTTCATATTTTTAATTTTATTATTTCCCTATGCCACCTTGCTAGATTTAAACTGATGATCTAATATCCGGAAAAATCCCAAAGCCGGAATCGTGAATATGGGACTTTGTATCGTATAATTAGGAAAGGGCTATTTACAAGGGTTAAGAGTTTCACTGAGAAACTTTTAAAGGATACTGGCTTGTATTCACATTACATGTACAAAAAACACAAAAATTAATTTTTAGTGATGATTTACACCTATGAATATTATTTCATTAATTATTAACATTTTTAACAGTTATTTGTAGTTACCCATATTCCACATCAAAATTAATGATTAAGATGGGTAGCTTATTCCAAATTCTCATTGTCACTGAATGGATTGCTTGTTTAAGGAGAGATGTTTTACATCTTTCCCATATAAAATGAATACAAATAAGCTTCTCAGAAGGCATCAAATAAACTAGTGCTCAAATATAAATAACTTCATTAAAATTAGTTGATCACACATGTCCTTCTTATTGGTTCAGTGATACTGAAATCAAGATGACATTCATCTTATAAGCAAAGAAATAAAATTCCAGTATTCACATAACGCCTATTTATAAAGTTTTTTTTTTTTGTAAATTAACATTTTTCACTTAAACAGAAATAAAACTAACACATGTCATTTTAATGTAACTGTTACCTGCTAAAAAAAATGAACCAAAATTAAAAATGGCTTACATTTTTCCAAATTGCAAAACGTTTTATTAAACTATAAAATATTTTCATGAAATAATATACACATAAATCATTTTTGTTGTCCATTGCAAATTTAGGTTCTTAAGCAACACGTAATCGCAGTTTTCATGAAATGATCGTAGATGAATTAAAACATACAAAAACTACTCACTCAGAATTTTATGAACAAATACACTGAGCAAATGTATTTGGAAAGCATATAAATAAAGAATAAATTACATGAGAAAGCTCATAAATGCTAAATACCTGGAAAACATTTTTACGGCTTGATTTATCTGGACACCATTCAACCAAAGCTCCATTTAAATCAATACACAGTTCAGGTTTTATTCCAGGATTAGCCTATGAATTGTTAAAAAACAAAATTAATTTCCAATACGATGAAAAATCACAATAAGCTAAAAACTGACTTTTATAACTGAAAAAATACAATCATTTCCTCTTAAACAATATATAGTTCAAACAAAATGCAAAAAACTGGCTACAATTTAAGTCATTTTAAGAAAGCATAAACTCGACATTATAACTTAGAATAACCATAATGTAAATCACAACATTTAAAGTAGAATTCTGACAGCTTACTAACTTGACTATTTTTTATGAGGTTATGAGTTTAGTGTAGGTGTAACTCAGAGATACCTAAATAACATTCAGCTTTCACACATATTTTAATATGAGCTGCAACTTGCATTAAAGTATACTTCTTTCAAAACAATACTTGAAATCATACGTAAAGGCATTATACACATTTTCCCTTTCAAGTCACTAATATATTTGAATATATAATTATATAATAAACAATTTAAAATTATCTGAAATACATTAACATGACTATTTTTCATGTTAACATGACTAAAAATCATTACATGACTAAAACATTAACATGACTAAAAATCTGACATGTACATGTTAGTACATTAACATGACTAAAAATCTGAAATACATTAACATGTATTTCAAATTATTAGCAAAAATTTTTCAAAGTGAAGAAATAAGAGAAGAAGATATAACTTCATTATATTATAAAAATTAAAGGGCTAAAACCAAATGATTTTCAACTAAGGCATAAAAATAATATAGCAAGAGAAACATTTTTCTTATTACTTACAACAACTGTGCTCATACTCATAATTTATTAACTGGATGTAGTATAAATTAAATGCATTCAAAATTACATAAATTATTTCACTAAAAAATAAAATGAAGATTTAAATTATTAAGAAATGCATTTACTTTCAAATCACTCAGTTTGTTTAGTAGTTACAATTTAAAAAATAAAAGAATCTTGCATTCGGGAAAATGCTTATCTGCCAGTTCATAAAAAAGAAAAATTACAGGTCTTATGTTTTGCAAAATGGCAAGACTTGCCACATAGAAAATAAATGTAATGGTAGCATAAAATGCACCAAAAGGCCATTACATTATGACCACCCTGTTAATAACATGTAAGACCACCTTTAGCCCTCAAAGCTGCCAGCCCCTGGCATGGCATTGACTCCACAAGGTGCTGATACATAGTCTGAGGTATCTGGTACTAACTGGTATCTGCCTCACCAACTGGTTCTGCAATTCCCACACATGAGGGGGTAGCGGGGCAACACGAATTTGGTTTTCCAGGTGGGACCACAAATGCTCTAATATTAGGGGAATTTGGAGGCCAAGACATGATTTGAAAGTCACTGGAATGTTCCTCGAACCACTCCCTGATGATCTGACCCTTATGATACGATGCATTATCTTGTTGGTAAACACCATACCCCACCGGAAATACCATTGTCATGAATGAGTGAACCTGGTCTGCAACAATGTTCACATAGCGCATCGATGTCAGGGATTGTTCTATGGGAATTATGGGTCCTAATGTGCTCCATGAAAACATTGCCCACACCATAATACCCCCACTACCCGCTTGTTTTCGTTCTGCATCCAGGACCCTGGTTTCATTTGGAAATCAGCATATTAGCACATGATGAGATGGACCAGAAAGAGTGATTTGTCGGACCATGTAACATTCTTCCATTCTTCTAGTGTCTAATTCTGATATTTCTTGGCCTGTTGCAGATGCAGCTGGCGATGACGTGCCATCAGTGCAGGGACATGCTTCAGCCTCTGGCTGTGTAGGCCCATACGCAGCTATGTACGCTACACAGTATGTTGAGATAAACTGCCTGGTTTACCACTGTTGTAGCTGGTGGTGATTTCAGCTATTGTAACTCTTAAGACATGGCGAACAATGCGTAGCAATCTCCGCTCTCCTCTGGAATCGATGACACACTGCTGGCCGCTGACTTGCCGTTTCACCACCTATACACCATTTTAGATATGTGCTCACAACAACTGCACATGAACAGCCCACTAAGCGTGCCATTTCTGATAATGATGTTCTCAGTCGCTGAGCTGTAACGATTTGACCTTTATCAAAGTCTGATAAATCAGACGCTTTTCCCATTATGTCGCTAATTTCACTATGTTTGAAAAGACAATGCATAATTACTTTATATACTCGAACATCAGCCGATCCTGTAATTGCCGTGCCAAGAATACTGACTAACTTGTCAATCGAAATTTTTTTGTTTTCACTAACCTCTCTGTCACTTTCTTCATGCTTTTATCCATTTTTTGCAGCAATTCCATTTTTTGTTTGATGGACATCGAAACATGCTTTCACTTTGTAGATCCTTTGCCAGCTCTAGAATTGGAAACTCTTTTTGACATAATCGAAAGTTCAAGCTTACTTTTTATAAAATTGCTCTAACAGTCTGCAAAATATAATGAGCCGGATCCAATTAGAAGATTAAGGAACAACACAATCTGCAACATTAACTGAAATAGATAATTTTAGCCTAGCTTATACCGTCCGTTATACATTAAACGCACATGCGTAAACATATTATGCGCATGCGTAAATGCATATGCGCATGCGCAGAAAGTTTGTAGCTTTGAGGTCCGGATTACAGATCATTCCGGATTATGGACATCCGGATTAAACACTTTATACTGTATTAAATGTAATTAAATTTGCAAAGAACCAAATCAGAAACCCTGAAAATTTTCTTAACTTTATTATGTTCGAATTTTTACACAAGTTTTACATTTGTTTAAGTTGACTATGGCAATTTTAGCCAGAGCTGTTTGATTTCAGGTGGCTTTCAAGTTTTTTAGGGAAGAATTTCTTATAAGAAAGTAAGAGACAATTAAAAAAACTCAAAACATATACAAACTAAACTTTTAAATAAATGTGCTAACCTTTAGAAGTTTCATCAGTATGGCTACAAACAGCTTTAAGTGATGCTACCAAAGTTTACGTACATACGAAGAGCGAAAGAAGAAAATAAACTGTATAATGGAGATTGAGTCTAAATAAGTATGGCTTACATAAATTTATTTATGTTTCAGATAAATAATAAGAGAGAATCAATCACTTTCAGACATCAAGAGAGAGTTATATAAGAGAGATTTTTGTAATTACTAGTTCAATAGATAATTTTATCAGAAATATTTCTATATTTAACACATATCTAATAACACTGATAAACAACATTCCCAAGCAATTTTGCTAAATTCAGAATTAATGCATGCATCCCCCATATTTTGATAATTTATGCTTTTGAAAATTTTCATTTATGAGTACAATATATTAATCAAAAGGCAAACCACTCTTCTGATTATTTCCTTCTCTGTAAATTTGAAATTAAGATTTAGAACATTTTGATGCAATTTATATAAATATTGAGGCTGTACAATTAACTCACATAAAAATGTAAATAAAATGAAAAAATATGTAACTTAAAGGGATATTATTTAGTTTTCATGTAACATAAGGAGCTTTATACATGAATTCCAATAATTCAATTGCCAACATAGATTTCAAACTTAAAAACAGCGTTCTAATAATTGCTAGTCAAAAAAATTCAATGGTGTTTCTATATGAAGTGAAAAATATTTATTTAAATAAATAAAATTTGAAGCTATAGTATTAAAAATAATAAAGTTTTGTACACCACAGAAAAGCACCATATGACATCTCTAAATTATGTTATGTCTGGGAATGGCCTACATAATAGAGAAGCCTGCTACAAATTCCACTCAAGAATATGGACATTTAGTGCAACTACTACTTCCCAAAATTTGGAGGATTTAGATATGGCAAATACATCACACTTTGGATGATGTTTTTCCCCTGAAGTACAAGCAATGTTTCACAAGTTCTAGGAATTAATGTTAATTTTTTTTATTTTCTCAATTTTCATCAATAATACATCACAGTTTTTCAAAACAATCCCCAATTAAATACACTTAGCCCAAAGAAAAACTATTTTTTTTTTTTAAGTGGCCATCAAAGAATGTTTTCAGTGTCTTTTCAGTTCACTTATTAATGGCATGTTTTAACTCAAACACCCCATAAAGGTTTTTTCAAATGTGATTCACATACATTGCACAGCTTCTAAAATTTTCGCACCCTCTTTTCACAAAAAGAAAATTACTACTCTTTGTACCATCCATGATTGCAAAAGCTGTGAGTGCTAAATGCCCCTGTAGCAGTCAAACAACTGAACCAGAATAAACAATACGGCACAGGAGAGCTGCAATATCTGGTCAATAGTGTTGTCTATATCAAACTAGAGCTTAATTTCTAGAACTTTAACACCCTACCTACTATGGTCAATATAACTGCCTTTAGGCATACAATATAAAGTGCACGGCAGGTAAAATTAAAAACTTCTCATCCCTTTCATTGAAAAAAATCACACTTATTTAGTTATGTAACTGCTACTTTTATCTGATAAGTTATTTTCCCCCTTTATAACACAGTGAAATTTTGATAAAACTGTTAATATTTTGGCTGAAAAATATAATTTTCTCTACTTACACAAATGCATATGAGAATTCATACTTAAAAGATTGCGTTAACTTTTGTGTTGCTTTAAACCTTTCATAATCCTACAGCAAAAATTATCCAGTGTTCTAAAATATTTAGAACATGCCCAGAAAATTAATATATGTTTCTCCAAAATTCAGATAATAATAAAAGGATGAATTTTGGGGGAAAATTTGATCTTGATTTATGTACACCAAAAACTGACTGAGATCATTAATTTTACAGCCTGAATGTAACTAAAAATGAAATATTAGTTTAGTTTGTCAGTTATAGTTATTATCACCTTCTGATGTTAACAGATCAAATTATGGGCACTGATATGCAGAATGTTGAGAAAAATTTCTTTTTTTTTTTTAAACAGCTCGATAATGCAGTGAACTTGGAAGCATGTACATAAACAAAGAGTACATATTAACATAACTTCACATTTTGATGCCTCTAAATACTGCATGTAAGTTGTAAAAAGTGAGTTACAGATTTAATAATAAATAAAGAAACAGAGCTTACTAAGTGGGCAGATCGAATGTCCTTGTAAAACAGGAGAAATACATCAGTCAAAACAACAAAAGAAGAAGTCCAATTTTTTCGAATACGCCTGCCACCTTCCACAAGTTTCGTTTTATTCAACGTTCCTTTACGAGTGATAGACTAAAAAAATTAAGTCAAAGAATAAAATAACACTCACTTTTATAGAGCTGAAAATATAAATTTCAAGACAAAAACTAAAATAATAATAAAAAAATAAAATTTAAAAAAAATGCTAAAAACTGATTTTTCGGGAAAAAACAATTGCAAGATATTTTGTATGTTCCATAAAGTATTTTGAGCTTTAATGTCGAAAAACATACAAAGAAACTGCAGAAAACATAATCAGCAATCCTTAGTTGAAAATTCACAATCAATAAAATGCACTAAGCCTACCAGATACAATAAATATTGCAAACAGAAACGTTCCCAAGATAGCTCTTGTCCCAATACTCTATAAATGTTCTATAAATGTGTTTTGTATTTTGGGTTTTAATGTCAAAAAACATACAAAAAAATAAAACTGCAATCAATCAATCAACTAATCAGCAATGCTTAGTTGCAACTTCACAGTCAATAAAAGCCTAACAGATACAATAAATAATGTAAACAAAAATGGTCCCATTTTACTTCTTGTCTAAATTTATAATACTTGTTTAAAAAGATCCTGTTTTTAATCTGCATTAGTGATAATACAATTAGGTATGCAATAATGTAAGAAAATATTTCAAAACTTAATAAAAATAAAATTTACAGCGTCATGGAAATTTTTCTTTATTTAAAAAATACTACTATAATATAATATTCAAAGCAGTTAAAATTTACCCTGTATTTGTAAGCGCACTATATGAAAGATATTCCCATTTTATGTCCATAAAAAACAACAAATACTTTTCGTCTAAACTTGTACAGAGCAACACATCAGAAATACTGAGAAAGAACATCTGTTACCCCTCATAAGGCAGCCACAGCACTGAAATTTTATCAAAAGCACTGTGTAATAGACTACCGGCAATAATTACTAGCTAAAAGCTATTTCAATGCATCATTAATATATTTTCACTGAAATTTTATCACAAGCACTGTGTATTAAACAACCGGCAATAATTACTGGCTAAAAGCTATTTCAATACATCATTAATATATTTTCAGAAATATAACAAATACTTTTCGTCTAAACTTGTACAGAGCAACACATCAGAAATACTGAGAAAGAACATCTGTTACCCCTCATAAGGCAGCCACAGCACTGAAATTTTATCAAAAGCACTGTGTAATAGACTACCAGCAATAATTACTAGCTAAAAGCTATTTCAATGCATCATTAATATATTTTCACTGAAATTTTATCACAAGCACTGTGTATTAAACAACCGGCAATAATTACTGGCTAAAAGCTATTTCAATACATCATTAATATATTTTCAGAAATATATTAATTTAAAACTTTACTAAGCATGATATGTATCTAAATCTCTTCAGAAGCAGTTCCCAACCTGTACTCTGTACAGCCCTATGGAAGACTGAACTTCTCACTTTCGTAGAGATTGCACTTCACAGGGAATCCACAGCTATTCCAGGAAAATAAAATAAATAAAAATAAACGAAATTAATGGTCAGGGGGAAAAAAAAAGAATCAAAATGAAACAAAATTAGAAATTTCATTCTGAATGGGAAGTTGCAAAATTCAATTTTGGTTTGCCTCTATACAATGACAATACGTCATTTTCTAGTGGATACTCAATGTAATCCAATTGTTTATAATACCAAACATGAAAACAAATGCTTTGGATTCCATAACATATTTTCTTTCTTCAAACCTTAAATAGTAGAAACGACCAGTTGTGTGACTGGTAGCTGTTTCAACCACCCTGATCGGTACAGTAGTTGGAGATACTAACTGCCTGATCGTTGGGCCTGGGTTCAAATTCCGGAAAAATATGGTGTCAGCATGGCATGGGATATTAAAATACCAAAAATACTTTTGAGTAGTCTGGTGTCAGAGAAAGAGGGATGACAGAATCTCTGATCCACACCCTGAGGTGCTTTCCATCAAAATTTGGATGGAGTTAACACCTGTATGATCAGAGATGGAATTTTGGTACCCTGCCCACTTAGAATTTGATCTGATTTATATTTATTTATATTATTCCTTATAGATAGATAAAGTATGAGATGCATGCTTTAATAAATATTTATCATTCTGTATACTAATAAAACATTTGAGTAGAGTAGTTAAAATAAGCAGTTTTAAAACATTGTTCATAAACAGAAACAAACAAAGAACAAAGAAAGAACAAAGAAAAACAAAATCTCTTAGTTTCCAAGTCAGATCAGGCAGTTCTTAGCACTTGATGATAATACATATATATCACAGAAAAGACTTTTCAAATTTTTTATCATACTGCTGAAGTATATGAGGATTGATATATTACAACACCTTCCAGTTTTGGCTGCAATTACAAGACACATTCAAAATCTTATTTCAGGCAGCAAAATCAGTTTTGCTGCCTTTTTAAATTACATATTTGTGAAGTGGGATTTCCCACATATGCAAATACCAAAGCAAAACGCAGAAACCACACATAAAATTAAACACTCACTTGCAATTTTCATCAACTGAACTTAAAATAAGAAAGAGTGGCAACCAAAACAAACAAAAAAAAAAAAAAGCAACCGCATGTTCTCAATATATATGTGTCAGGTAAGCCTAGTGTTACCCTGTAATACACTCTAGTTAATACAATTAAACTGAAATTGGTCTCTGTAAGGAATAATAAAAACACTGAATAGCAAATAATGAATGAATATGTAATTTAATTGAATTGAGTATAATGATTAAACTGAAGAAACTGTATTTATTGTGCACATCTTTTTTTATTGTTGTTCTCACCAATAATATCCTCCCTCATGGGGATCGACGTAGAGAACTTTGCAAAGCTACTTCCTCTCGAAAGTCCTCTCGAGAGGTTGCTGGTAGGGGAAGAAGGGTGGGAGACCCTCGGGTGGTCTCGATCAAAATTGGGGGCAGAACTGAGCTAAATTGAACTGTTACCTGTAAGGCACTTAAGGCTATTGCCAAGAATTATTTTACTAGATTTTACTTCTACCTGCTAATCAAACATAAAAATTCAAGATGATTATCTTTGAAAAGAATGACATCTTCCCCTCCATATTCTAAAAAAACATGTTTTAAAAAAGTCTTTTCTACATTAGAAAATTTTACACAATAGACAATAGTCTGTAATATTAATTTTGCAGCAAAAACAAAACATGAAATTTACTGTGGAAAGAAAGAATGGCCTAAAATATTTTTTAAATATATACTTACAAAATGACCATCCTGGACAGATGGCCAATAGCCTTCGCCAAAAGATGCAGGCAAAAAACCCTTATTATCTTCAGCACCAGCTAAATTTACACATTCAGGAACAACCAAAGATCTTGTTTTAAACTGTCTAGGGACTGGCAACTTAGGGGCTTTACGACGTAATTTTGGTGAGAGGGATGATTCTGTAGACAGTGAGGATGCTGACACTTCTTGATTTTGTGAATCATCTTTACTTTCATCTGCTTCACTTTTCTTTAACTCCTGCAAATGATTTTAATTCATCTTATAAAGAGAAGAAGAATATTTCAAACCATGTTAATATACTGAGTGGTTATAATTGAACTTCCCCTATAAAAGGCATCCTACAGCAAAAAATACGTGAACCAAATGCAATGAAATTTTGTATATGGGCTATACACGAGATGCGCTCACGGAATTTTCAAAAAAAAATTTTAGTTTCAAAATGTCCACCAGAAAGGCGCCTTTTCGAGAAAACATGAAATTTAACACAATAAACGACCAAAATGGAATACAGAAACAATATTAACAATCCAGAACAAGAATTATGAGTAATAAAATGAAAAAAGGGAAAAGCTATCAGTTGTAGGAAAAAATGTTGAGATTTGCATGCTTGGGAAGAAGAGGAAGCTTTACACAAAAGAAGTTAGGGTATAAATCGTTTGCAGATGTTGCTATGTTTAAGTTGATGTTTCCGGCTGTACTAATGATGGTCTCTTTAGTTGAATGTGTGTTATTGGTGAAGCTGTTTTACGAAAACAAGGGAAATGCATTTGCTACAGCTCGTGAATTTCGTCGTAGAAAGAACCTACGGTGTGGACCAGTGTCTACTAAAAGTATCCTGGCCATGATAAGAGATTTTGAAAAAATGAGGAAATTAGGAGTTCAACCTGGAAGAGGCCATAAACCTGCTACAAAAAAAAAAAAGAAAAAAAAAAAAAAAAAAAAAAAAAAAAAAAAAAAAAAAAAAAAAAAAAAAAAAAAAAAAAAAAAAACAGTTTATTCTGACAGAGCTTTCAAAAAGTACTCAGAATCATAATGCACTACTTCCCATAAAAGATCCGCCATACCCAGGAGCTGCTTGATAGGGACAAGCCACAACATCTCTCATTCGCAGAACAAAATGACTGTTGATCTGTCATGGCCTTGGAATATTTTGTAGAGTGACGAGGCTCATTTCTACCTCAATGGGACAGTCAACACACAGAATTGCTGCATTTGGGCTAAGGAAAATCAGCAGATCCACACTGAAATTCCCCTACAGTCTCCAAAGTTCACCGTCTGGTGTGTGGATTCACGGCAACATTCAGCCTTGAACCATTCTCTTTGAGGAAGTCGGTGAACGTGGGCTTGTCACATGTTCTGTTACGAGCCGACGGTACCATGACATGCTGCAGACGTTTGTTGTGCCGCAACTACAGAATAGGCGGGTCCTTACATCGACCATTTTCATGCAGGATGGTGTGCCTCCACATATTCCATGGGTCCGTGAAGGCGCTATTGCTCCAACACTTCACAGAGGAGCATGTTATTAGTCGCTCCTTTCCTAATCCTTGACCACCACATTTGCCAGATTTAGCTACGTGCAATTTCTGGTCATGAGGCTATTTAAAAAGTCTGGTGTATCGTGGAGGTGTTTCGACGTTGAATAACTTAATCCTTTGACACGTGGTGGTCGCACCCTGAAACCACCAATTTTCAAAATTTTTTCCTCCTCTTCTTTCTGAAATTTTTGGGTGAAAATCAATCGATTACTGATTTTTTTACCTCTAAATGACCTAAAATGACTGCAGAATCATACATATTTTAAGTCTTAGTACTTCAAATCGGATGCCTTTTAAAATTCATTTAAAATGAGACAAAATAACTTTCTGTTATTAATATAAACTACTTTAAATTTCAAAAGTTATTCATAGCACATCATGATTACTATCATGAACAATAAAAAATTGCAATAATAAAAAAAATATTTATATTTATGGCATTTGCTTTGTAGTTTTAGGGCACGACCACTGCACCACTAGAGTATTATGTCGCAATGCTCACAATCCTCTAGAGGCTCGGTGGTCGTGCCTAGAAACCATTGCTCTTCACAATGGCATTTGCTTGCTTTTTCAAACAGGAATGTTTACTTTTACCCAGATATAGATAACGGGTTTTGAAACCACAGAGTTATTTTATTACTAAAAAATACATGCACCTGCCCAGTGAAAAGGTCTTTCTTTTCCAGAGATTCTTCTCTGACCTCAACACACTTGCTTCCCAAACTAGTATTGTAATTTTATAAATTATTTGGTGTGGTTTAAATTTAATGTAAATATACCTTGCTATAATTAAAAATAGAAATCGCATAAAAGTTTTACTTAAATTAAAAAATATTTTCTAAATATTTTGGGACGAAATAGGAATAAAATAAATATGATTGGGAAACGAATGATCTGTACCAAAGCCAAAGACCAAGCCTTCCCCCATTAACATAAAAAAACCACAAATTTCATGTGCCAGATGAAAAGAAAACTAAATAACGCTGTACATATACCAGTGAAATTTAGAAGATCCAGGCAGTGTACATTTTGTAGCACAAGGAAAAAACCTCATAGAACAAGATACATATGCGAAATGTGCAATGTGGCTCTATGCATGTACCAAAAAGACAAAAAACATGCTTTGAGCAGTGTCACAAAAAATGCATTCTTTAAAATTTAAAAAAAAAAAGTTTTTTTATCCTTACTTTACTGAGTTTTTTTTATCCATTTATCCGAACATCCTTATTATGTAGGTACTTATATTTTCACTGCTATAGAAAAATTACATAAATGTTTATTTTTAAATTTTTTCTGCCAATTTACTTTGTAAAGCAATGTAAAACATTTACATATAATGCAATTCTTACACACATTTTTTTAAAATTCATAAATTTCGTCATTTATTGGAAACACATATGGAAAAAGGTACATGTTTTTTTCCTACTACCTCAGTAAGTTTCAAAGTCCTAGACGCGCGCTGGTTCCACACTGTGACCACCACCCACAGAACAATGGGCAAGAGTAGATTTCTTTTAATTCACATATTACTTGTCACTAGGATCATAATATTCAATTTCTAGAGTTTTTAGTTTAAAAAATTATAAGAATAATATCGCGCGTGTCAAAGGGTTAAAGAACTCAATAACTCTTCATATGCGAAGCCTCACAACTGATCAGTTATGATCTGCTGTTGAACACATTGTCCATTGACTTGAAATTTTGCAGATGAATGAGGGTGGTCACGTGAAGCACCTTTCCTTACATCGTCCTGGATACGATTAACAATGCTCCTCTTGTGCAATTTCGTCCTAATCTGTTCTTGTTTTTGTAAACTGAGCTGTTTTTGTTTCTCCCTTACCTTTACTTAATGTGGTTTGATGACAAGGTGATCATAAACTAGTCAATAAATGTTAATATTGTTTCTGTAGTCTGTTTTGGTCGTTCACTCTGTTAAACTTCATGTTTTCCCCCAAAAAGGTCCCTCTGGACATTTTGAAACTAATTTTTTTTTTTTTTTTAAAATTCCATGAGCGCATTTCGTGTATAGCCCATATACAAAATTTTGTTGCATTCCATTCACCCGTTTGCACTGTAGGATGCCTTTTATAGGGAAAGTTTAATTATAACCACCCGGTACTTCTTCGAATCAATAGAAAAGTATGATTACCTTCCACATTGCAAATGAGTGAATAAATACACTTTTCAAAGTGGGCAAAAAAATAAATAGATAATTATTATTTAAATGAAGAATATACTATACCATGTTTTTAAAATATAAAAGATTACACTGTCATTAAAATAAAATTTATTTTATGCAATTTTTTTCTCCAAAGTTAGGCCTAGAAATATGAACTGCCCATTCCAACAAGAGAATGCATCCTGTTAATCTGGCATCCCAAGAGAGGGGTTTGGTGACTGAGATGCTTGTCATGAAAGGGTTAAATCAATGAAACCAAACCATTTTATGCTGAGCTAACTTTTTGTATTTCATTCCTTTAAAGCTTCTGAAGATTTGACAGTTCAAAATACATAAAACCATTTTTGTATTACTCACATTTTCTGGCTATTTACAAGTGCATTAATTAATGAATTGCTGAGGAGTTCAATGGAGTATCCAGGCAAACAACAGAAGGTCTGTTTGTTTACCTGGATATGGCAAAGCACACAAGGGATAACAGCCTGAAGGAAGTGATGCCTTTACAGAAACCAGTTTGTATGTTACACATTAAAAAAGTACAAAAACATGCATGCAGATAATTAATTTGTCAGGATTTAAAAAAAAGTCAAACTACTAGTGTTTAGTGGTTTTATTCATTTGGCCACCAGTAAAACTTCAATGTAAGGAGGAGTCTACCTAGAGCTATCACAACTGGTTTAAGCAAACTTGTTCACCGATGATCACAAATTTCAAAATTTACACTATAAACCAAATTTGTAAAAATCATATCTTTCCTAATTCATCTTTTTCTTTCTTTTTTTTTTCTTTTTTTTTTTTTTTTTTTTTTTTTTTTAAACTTGAAACAAACAAACAAACAAACAAACAAAAAAAAAAAAAATCTACATTCTGATTCACATATGTTTTAATTACAAATAAGTAAAGGTGAAACATTTTATTTGCTGTTTCCATAATACTGTAACTTTAAAAGAACACGCCTTCTATATATATTTCACAAAAGATAAAAGGACAAAAAATTTTAATTCAATTACATCTGGAAAAGTTTATTTTTCTGCATTATTTACATGCTTAAAGCACTAAGTACTTGCACATTATTAATAGCCCTTTTTAATGAGGTACTATGCTTGAATTCGAATTAATACCTAGTGTAACATACTTTTTTCCCACTCTTTATTTTATAATCTGTACCTTGTAAATAAAATTTCTAAACAACTGAAGCAAATAAGTTGACAAACATTTCACAAAGTAAGGGTTGGATTGGATTGGATTATTCGATTATGGCAAAGCACACGAGGGCTATCTGCCTAAAGGGAGGGATGCCTTTGGGGAGGACTTTCTAAGGAAAACTGGCTTGTATACACGTTACACATGGGGAAAACCACGAAAACACCCATGCAGCCAGCACATTCGCGGGATTCGAACCTCGGACCGAACTACCAGTGTTCAGCATCTTTCCCGCTCAGCCGCTGGCAAGCCCACAAAGTAAGGTAATGAATGAAACTCTCCATAGAAAGTTAGCTCATGTATATAGTAAGCAGGAAGAAAATTTTGAAGGCCCTCATCAACCACTGAAGTCAGCTTATTCAACCACTGAAAGTAGAACCCAAGACAAATTACAAAGATTTGTAGCTTGAGCACCTCAACCGTGAATAAGAAATTACATTCACATATGATCAGCTATAACAAAAACTCCAACACAAAATTAAATACATAATAGTATGTGGAAATTGCTACTCAAGTACATTAAAAATGTGCAACTAAACAGAATGATTTTTGAAGGATATTCTGCAATACACATTACTATTGAAAAATTTATGACTTTAATGCAAAGCTTATCTATACATCTGCTTAAAATATTTAGGGTACCATCCATTATAACATGTTGCTAACAAATTTGCTTTCATACCAAACTAATATTTATTACCCATATGGTGATGTTTTGGATAATCTATTGCATTTTTTTATTTAAATATAACAGAAAGTCATTTTAATATTAACAGAAAATGCAGAGTTTTTTTTTAAAAAAAGGCACAAGAAATATGCATGCCACTTCAGCTACCACATGCAGGGGCAACAGGTTAAATGTGTAAATCTACATTAACATAGTTTGAGAATTAAATATTTAGTTTTTCATACTTCACTATTTTATTCCCAATTAAATGTTACAAAAGATCATTCATGTTTAAATACATACAGAACATTATGCAATTTAAAAATAGTAAAAATAACAGTAAAACCAAGAATATATTTTAAAAAGCTAACAATACCTCAAATTCTGAAGAAGCAGACATATCAGGCAATTCCCACACAGATTCTGAACTATCTTCATCATAAAAATATGTACGTCCATTTTCATCCAAAGAAGAAAACCACTTTAAAAGAATTAAATTTATATAAAAAACAGTAATTAAACTTCCAGATTGATCAGATTTAGAATGAAATTATAGTTCTCTTTTGAAAATACCTGTGTAAATATTCTTTCACTTAGAGGAAATAAAGAAGAAAACTCTTCAGGTGTACTGTATAAAAGTTCACTATCAGAATTATCTTCACTTTTCATGCTCAATAGAAACAAATTTTCTTTGATATAAAATCTCTGATCAAGCCATCAGTCTTTGCCAGTAACAAGGAAGTAATGAGAAAATATCAAAGGAAGGAAGTAGCAAAGGGAACACTTCCTGTTAACTTCAACACATCAAAAACCTTTATGTATGCTCATGAAAGGGAGTAGAAACACTTTTCTTAACATTTCAGTTCAATGGTGTTTAATTTTAAATGAAAGTACCTTAAAAGAAAATCAAGCTTTACTTCAGGTAAGTAATTTGCTTCCATTGTGTATTTTAATTAAAATTACCAGCTTTGACTGTGATGTGTTCAGTTAAATATTAAATGAGTGCATTAAAAAGAATTTTGTTGATGAAAAATATGCTTAAAAGACAATCTCAAATACTTAAAAAAGTATTAATGCTTTTTATTTATGAATTTTATTTAAATGAAATTTTAGAAAATTTTCAATTTTAAAATAACAAACAATTGAAATATATAAAAAAGCTGGAATTACTCTAAATTTAAGCTAAATCTACTATTAAAAATGTATTTTAATCTTATACTAAATTATATATATCTTATATAATGAATTAAAATACATACAGAATTTATATAATGCTGGTACTTCAGATGGCAATATTTTATTACTTATTACTAATTTCCCCCCTCTGAATGTTAAATAGTAGCAGCATATGGTTAATTCTGAAAACTAAGTTACAAAAATGATGACATTATGAATTAATTTTAGGTAACAATTTTTTACCATGATGCTTATAAAAGTAGCTATTTTATGTTTTACTTCTTTGAAAGTAAATAAAAGAAAAATTTTAGTATGTAAAATGCGAGTAAACAATCATCTTGAAAAATACATGGGTACCAAAATTTAGATAAACTGCTATAATAATCAGTTACCGATTATAAAATCTTTTCAAAGGATTAAAACATTGAACTAAAAAATATTAAACTAAAGACGATGAAATTATAAAATTTGACACATTTTTATTAGCAGAATTCAAAATTGATAACACACCTACAGACAATTTTATTACAATAAACGAGGGTCATACACTAAGTCAATACAAGCTCTGCAGTGACAATCTGGTTCCTCAGCAACATCTGTTTACTTATAGAAAAATCTCATTCATTCATTAAGTTAAAAAAATGAAGGACTTTTTTTCTTTATTATTATTTAAAAAAAAAGTATATCTTCAGACTCAATTAGTGTGCTGTGAAGCTTCACCAAGGGTAACACAAATGTTAGCAATGAAATCAATCCTCTTTGCAGGAATATTTACTCCCTCAAGCATTTAACCCACACAAATATTGTTCCTCTTAAGACTCGGAAAATCATATTTATCTGAATTAGTATTTTCCACACTTCCCCCCCCCCCCCCGAAAAAAAAGGTGAAACTCAAATGGGGAAACAGAATGGGATACCTTTAACTTTCCCAGTTATGCTAACATGTTCACTGCTATTTGTGACAATACTTCAAGTTAGCAAACTGGGTTTACCAGTTATGAGAGAATTTATTATTGATTGCTTTACCTAAATGAACGAGTAGTACTGACACAGTAAATGCATAAAATGTTTAGGTATTTGGTATGCAGGAAGGAACTAAATAATACACTTGGTGTATTGGATCATTTATTTTTCAAACCGTGGTTATAGGCTCATTTATTTGCCAAAACTATAGATAAATGTTTAGAACGCAGACTTTTTTTTTGTTTTTTTTTTGTTTATTCACTTGGGATATGTTATAAGCAGACTGCTCAGGGAAATAATGTGTGAAAAGTTTTGCGTGAATGCATAAAAAGCGTGAGTGCTGTTTGATTAGATCCAAATTATCTTGCAGTTGGCAGAAGGTTGGTTGGATGGTTGGGGTTACAAAAGGTTGTGTATTTTCAAAATTTTAAATAATACAGACAAGAACACATATACCATTTAGTACATACTCATAAATATAAATTTATAAGTATATAATAGCAATAAAGTTTAATAAAACCTGCAATAAAATCAACGGTAAAAGTGTATTTTAGGGTACCCATTGGTAAAACTTGGCGATTTTTGGCAGTACATAGATACCGGGTTTGTGCAATTCTTTGACTTGTTATTTTGGCTTTATGTAGCGGAAATTTTTGGCACAAGAATTGCCACCACACAAAGCCAAAATTCCCTAAAAAAGTCATGAAGATAGGGAATTGATCACTGTTAAAAGTATCATTCCCAATACTAAATGAACAAAAGGGATATGTGATGGTGAACTAATGGGCAGATCAATACTGTGAAATGTCCTCGTGGGCTGGTGGAAATACATTTGTTCTCCGGTATTAAGGAGGCACATGCAGTGATCACTAATGAGCTCTTCTATTTGTTTTCCCCAAAAAATTTATATCACCACTACTCCAGAGATGATTCAGGAAATTAAAATCTCCAATTAAAATGAAAGGAGCACGCAACTGTTCTACCAAATCATCTAATTCCTTTTTATCAATCACTTCATTAGGAGGCAAGTAGATGGTACAGACAGTGACAAGCACAGGGGTGTTTGTGGGACCCCAAAAAATCCCCTGAAACTTTTACGGACTTACTACCGACATTTTGGAGTTTCGAGAAGGGGGGGGGAAAATGAAAAATTACAATTATGAAGTATTGAATGATCTAATTATAAAAGTTCAATGAATTACTTTTTTTGCAAAATTAATAACCATAAATTTTCAAACATATAAACTACTACATTTTATGTAAATATTTTAAATTACCTGAATTAATTCTTTAAAAAAAATTATCTAATTTCTGCTGCTTTTTTTTTTTTTTTTTTTTTTTCTGATGTTTGTGGGCTTGTGTTTCTTTTGTGGTGAACTTCATAATTGCAGGAAGGTTGACTTTTATTTTCCTCATTTACAGTTGAAGAAATTTCCTCAAGAACTGCACATGCAGAGGTAGAAGCAGTTTGCTTTTCTGCTAATGTAGAAGGTTTTTCAGAGACTTTTATAGGTGACTCATCTGAAATACATGTTTTTAAAGTCGTCTTGATATGTTTTTCCAACTTCTGTTCATATTCAGTAAGAGATCTTTGTGAATTGGATCAGCCAATGGATTTTTTGAGCCATATTTTTCACATGAGGTTTCTTTAGAAGCCATTAAATCATATTTAATAGTCTGCACTGCATCTAGGGAATCAATCTTAAGAGAGGTTCTATAATCAGTGACAAGTGTATCCATTAAGTTGAATGCACTTTCCACTAATGGGCCATGGAAGCAGCTAAGGCAGGCTTTGATCAATTTAGCCAATGTAGGATACTTATAATCATTTGTGAAATCATCTTTTAAATTAAAAACTTTAGACCAATATTTATCAATTGTACACTTGACTTGATTTCCACTTTCATCAGATGTGTAGAGCATTTCTTTGGTGATATCAATATCACTCTGGTATAACCTTATTTCAGCTTCTACTTTTGACTTTTCATTATCACTAAAAATATGGGACATAAAAGATGATAATTTTTCAAAAAGCTAATATTGTACTGGTTTTACCTCTTAGCTCTGGATCTAATGCTGTAAAACTAATTAGATATGAATTTTTTTAAGGGGTAATTTCTGTTTTCATATGCTGTGCTGTATTAGTATAAGCTTTCATCAGAGAAATTTGGAATTCTTTTGCTATTGGATGATTTTTTGATAATTTCTTCAGGAGAGTGGAAGCTTCTGCACCAGTAAATATTACTTTGCTAGGTAGATGGAATTCTGGATTTGTGACATCAACCTTTAATAAATCATTATAAGATGCACACTCTATATTTTCTGGCTTCATAAAAAAAAAAAAAAAAAAAAAAAAAAAAAAAAAAGAGAAATTTTGCCATCAAATTTATAAATACTGGAATGTATTAAATGAAGCATTGGTTTTTTTGTTTCAAATAATTTAATATATGTGTTGAACTCTGGTAGTACTGCTGAATATAATGCCATATGCAATAAAGTTTTGTTTTGCACAACAAATAACCCATTTAGTATTCTTTTTTATTCTTTTTTTTCCGAGCTAAAGCATCCTTTGTGAAATGTTGGGAATGCAAGCAAGAATACACCCCTTCAACAATTTTTTTCTGAGCTGCAGAAATATTTCTTTTATTTTATACAGTTTCAACATAAGAAAAATAATCCCCTTTATCAGTTTTATCCAAGTAGTGAAAATAAAATGCAATAAGAGCATCCCACAGATTTTTGATTCTTTCTAAAACACATATAATGTACACCCACCTATGGTCTGGTCTCTTCAAGGGCTTAAGTTTTTTAATGGCAAGGGATTCACAGATTTTGAAAAAATTTCTCTTTTACTGCAGCTTTTTCATATCAAAATAGATGTCATCAAACAAATCTTCTAAGTATCTATCAAAACATGAAGCAAATTTTTTTGCACAGTTATTAGCTGTGTGACATGTGTCACCATCAATATCTAATACGTGGGGTGCTTTGTTTGATCGTAGTCTGGTTTCAACACCCTTTTTTTTTCCACGCATGGTGTTACATGAGTCCATTAATACACTAATTAAGTTTGTCCATGGAATATTATTATCTTCAATAGTATTAACAACTGCTTTAAAAACAGCTTCTGAATTGCAAGATTCCATCTTTAGAGATGCAAAATGATGAACTACAACTTCATTTTGATTGTTGTCATAAAACTGCACCAATATTGCCAGTACACTTTCTTGAGCATTGCTAGTACTTTCATCCAAATTTAGAGAAAATGGAGTCTCCTTTAAAGTTTTAATGATATTTTCCTTAATAGTTTTTGCGAGCCCATATTTCATCTTACAACATGCAGTAGTCCTGGACATTTTCAACGAGTTTAGTGCCGTCTGATCGCGGCTCAATTCTTTGCAGAGTTTAATTAAATTGGGAACTACATTGAAAGAAAGAGAATTCTCGGCGATAAACAAAGTTATTAATACCTCTTGGTGTGCTTTTCTTGTCACTATATCCAATGGCCGAGCATCAGTCTCCAGTAAGTCATCAGTATTTTTTGAATTAGCATAATTACTTAAAGTCATTGAATGTCTAATGCACTTTAAATATTTTATGTGCGTCACAGTTTTAGAATGATTTGTGAAAGCCTTGAATCCTTCCCCACCATACTTCAGCAGTGAGTTACAAAAAACACAATATGCTTGTCCAGCAACATTTATTTTCTTGCACCATGTGCCGATGGTATCCCCATTATCATCTCTCCATTCAATCCAATTCCACCTAAATGCATTCCGGGCA